AAGACCTGAAATATTTCAGTTAGTGTGCAATGAATCTAAAATATATGAATGTTAAATTTTCATCATGACATTATGGAAAATAATGAACTTTATCACAATGTGCTAATATTTTGAGAAGGACCTGTATAGCACCCAGTCAGTTATACTTTTAAATAATATTTTCATTTATTGGTCCGTCAAATGCTACGTTTATTTCACTAGGATGGCTAGCTGACATGAGCCGAGCTACAGCTAATGAGAAGCGTGCACGTTTTATTTTCGATTTATTGAAGTCCAGTTTCGGCTTTTCCTGATCAATAACTCATCAACGGAACATTGCTTCTATTCGTTCGCGCCGCCGCGCCATTTGTATGGATCGCTGGTGACGGAGCTTGGCCCGTTTTCGGTTAGGTCAACTCAGTGGAGATTTATTTGGCAAAAATCCATCATATGTGGGGCGCGGTGCTGATGGTGTAGGGGTTAAGCGCACAACCATATACTGAGGCTACAGTCCTCGAAGCGGCCGTCCCGGGTTCGAGTCCCAGACCCGCGACATTTGCTGAATGTCTCCCCCTCTCTCTACCCTCTTTCCTGTCTGCCTACTGTCAAAAAATAAAGGCCACTAGTGCCGAAGAAATATCTTTAAAATATCCATCATTTGTAATGGCGCAGAAGAGTAAATTTAACAAATCAGAGGCTCTGGAAGACGTTGTTTGGGGCTAACTGAAACTAATCTGATAGCAGCTGCTGGCTAAGCAGGAGGAGGAGGCAATGTTCCGTGAGCATGTTGTAGTGGCATCAAACTCTCAGCACACATACTTTGGGAAAATATAGTTAAACTTATTTTTGTAATTAGTATTATTTTTTACTCTTAAAATAAGTATAAAACAAGCAATCAATTATCTGTGGTGTGTTGTTGTGGCATCAAACTCACAGTACACATAGGACACCTCATCGATGAACATACTACACTCATACTTTGAGAAAATTTGCAACAGATATTACAAATATTCTCCGCATAACAACATTATGGATTTTTATAGGTATTATCCACAAAGTCATTGTTAGAAGTTGTAGGATGAAATTATCACATGTACTCCATATCACGTTACACTGCAAAATGTGGCTTGTGAATTTTTACTCTCAATTTTGAGGAAGTATTACATTTTACAAAAACATAATTTCTTTCTCATTAGTTTTTAGTAGCAGTACTCAATTTAAAGACTCAGAAAATCACAAAAAATAATTTTAGGCACATTTTCCCAAAGTAAGAGTTGTAGTATGCTCAAGATTAGTTGCTGTGAGTTTGATGCCACTACAACATGCTATAGTGAAGTTTCAACTTATTGTGATGATAAAACATAATTAAACTGAAAGCTATTTAGGCTATAGGCTTTGGGAAATTTAATTCTTTTATGATATTATTATTATTATTTTCCAATCCCAGAAATGTAGTATGAAAAACGTGACACGAGATACACTTTAAATTATTTTGATGACACCTCTCACCTCTTCTTTGTGATGCTATTAAATATTTCTTTATCATATTGTCCTGGTGTTGCAATTTGCCGACGGTCCCTGCACATTTGAGGACCTGCCGGCTCTGCATAGAAGTCAATGCAAGTCTCCCACCGCGGTGGTGGGCTCGTTTTGAGGAAAATACGATTGTAGGTCACTGTCTGCCTTGCTGTGGTTGCGGAGAGGTATCGGTTTTGCAGAAGCAATATTCTGCTGATGAGCTATTTATCTGGAAAAACCGAATCTGTGAATATCTGACTATACTGAAGTCAGTTTTACAGCAAATAAATAGAAACGAAAGCGACAATTAACCATAAAAAAGGATACGGTAGTTAAAAATCAATCGAATGCACCTATTTTGGAAAAATGAATTTCAGGGCTTTGAGACTGACTTTTTTTTTTTTTTTTTTTTTTCGGAGAATGCCAACCGCAGTTTTGGATCCAGTGACACGAGTGCTGGTGAATTGCTAGTAGCGTTGGAGAGATTTGCCAAGTCTACACCCAGCTGTTCCAGTTCAAAAGGTGAATTATCCCAGGGAGAGATGCAATAGTCCACAATGTGTTTCCTACTTGTAAGTTGTTTTGCATAAATGTTTACGCTAAATGAATGTGAGTTATAACTGCACAGGTGAGAGAGGGGAGTTGTAGCAAGAAGTCTAATGAAATTTATTTTTTTTACATGGTTTAGTTGCCTAGAAGAAGTTACCACTAATATCAGTTATTATTTGATTTTAAGAGTCAAGTTTTTCTTGTCACACCAAAAAAGGGCTCAGCACATCTGTCCTTCAGCGATTTTATTTCAAATGCCAATTGTTTATGAATATCAAAGGAAATAAAGATTAGTATTGTCATCTCTGACGGGGAAAATGCTTTTGTAGGACCCAGCTCAACTGCTTTCCTTTTTGCATGCTTCCATTTTTGATTTGTCGTGGCTTTGCTAATTTTATTTAATTATTCATAGTCCAGTTGTTGCCAATGTTTTCTATTAAATGGATAAAGTGAGAAATCATAAAGCGTTACCTGGATCATTGAATACTACAGGGAGGGTATTTGTTTCTAATTCAATTCAATTCAGTTTATTTATACAGCGTCAATTCACAACACATGTTGTCTCAAGGCACTTCACAAAAGTCAGGTACATACATTTCAATTAATCCTAACTATTGAACACTGCAGTCAGATTCAGTTATTTATTCAAACTGGATAAAAAGTTTTTCTATCTAAGAAAACCCAGCAGATTGCATCGAGTCAGAGATTTGTAGCATTCACTCCTCCTGGATGAACATGTAGTTTTAACATTCGTGACCTAGGGATAAGGCCCAGAACTATTTTGAGAAAACCAATTTCTTTTGAGATGCACAGCCTCTGAATGGCTTCAAGGTTGTATTGATGGTTCGTTAAATGAATTAACTTTTTTCTCTCTTTTTAGTTTCAGCCACCGATGGGCTTGATCCTGAAAAGAGGCAAAAGGTAAATGTGCCTATGATGAAGTCCAAATGATATGACAGTATTTCAGTTTAATGGGGGGGTTTTCATTGACGTCACTGATATCGCAGCCTCACTTTTGGTCCGCCCTCTTGAGTGTCTTCACAACATTGCATACTTTTTCGCCCATGGATAAGTATCTACAGTCGTTACAGCCTCCTGATAAGGCCATGTACCTCAAAAATCCAAAATAAGTTCAATATTGCCTTTTATTTGATAATTACATAATATATTACTAGATTATACATTTATAGCAAAGGTAAATTGCAGCCTGCATGTGGCTGGTCAAGGTGTGAGAGCACAGCTTACAAAGTAGGTCACAGCGCTGAGTGCTGCCACCCAGCTCAGAATCAGCTGATCAGCTCACGGTCTTGGCAGACTACTTTCCAGAATATTATTATAATAAATGCTAGATGAACATTATTTATTTACCTATCACAAAATGTGCACTGCACACTCTGGCATGCGTGAGATTCAAGCCGTCCAAATCTGCCCTGGATATCCGATTCAGCCACAGTAGTCGATGTTGTGTACTCAGTGTTTTCATTTTCTCAGACTGACTTTCTATCACAGCTGGCAGATGATAGAATGAACGTTGCTCTTGACCACCACACGCCGCACAGCCCACAATTAAGCAAGTTTTTGCCATAGTTAAATTAAATGGTCTGGAGTTTTGCTTCACTGATCACGCTAAAACAACGAAAACAGGCTGCAGGTGCCACCCAAGTTGGCGATCGCGTAGTGCGGTCACGTGACTGCGACGTCATGTTAAAAATTCTCCATTCTAACTTACTAGTACTCTTCATAATGCATAGTTAATTTAAATCTTGTTCTATATTTAAGTTTGGAAAGTTGCTGCCTTGTTGTCTTCACCATTGAACATGATCAAAGTATTCAATAATAATATAATATTTCAATAATACTTCAGAAATTCTACAGTGGTGAAATCTATTTTTACTATAGAGAAGTTGTAAAAATGCCTATATTGTCATGCAGAGAAGTGCTTGAAAAAGATAAACAGGATGAAAATATGATTCGTCTACATTCCCTGAATTGTAATATAAGCTTGTGGTATTGAGTTTGGGAAGAGTTCTGTAGATAAACGCCTAAAGCAGGGATCAGCAACTCCAGTACCCGAAGTCTGTTGTCCTGCACGTTTCTTGGATGTTGCCCTGCTCCACCACACTTGACCCATATTAATGGAACATTAACAGATATGTGATAATAAGCTATTGGAGAACCATTTGATTTGAATCAGGTGTGCTGCAGGACAGGAGTCGCTGAATCTTGACTCAAAGGATGCATCATTCTCATTGTGGTCAGGTTTCAGTTCCATTGAAGGCCTTTTGCTGTGATTCCAATCTGTTTCACTTCACAAATGTGAACATTTACAAATGCTTGTTTTCTGTGTTTTATAGGATCAAACGTGTCACAAAAACTCAAAGCCCATCATGATAGATGTGAGGCTTGTTACAAGAAGGCCTGTGTAAAGACAGCAAATGAAGTGAAGGAGAGCACGTCTTTTCTACATCAGAAGGGTTTAATGGTTAGTTTTGCTTCACATTTTTCCTGATTTGCATCCCACAGATGAGAACTCTTATGGGTGAGTCATCAGTAAATGTACCAGCGTATGTATGGCTTGAGCTGTTTTGCAGTAGCTTTGTAAAAATATCAAGAAAAAAATCATGTTGCAAATTTCTAAATTCCTGCTCTAATAATGTAATCAACTCAAATTTAGACAGCAATAATTAATGTTGGATAAAAGTCTGTTCAACTTTTAAAACTTTCACTAAACAAAAATGGCTGTCAGATATCAACATCATGATGCAGACACTGATTATCAGAGAAGAAATACATGTGGTGGTGGCAGCTGAGCAAAATCATGTTGTAGATGAATATCTGCAACCTGAAATTTTAGACCATGCAGAGGAGTTGTCATTGAGGGGGACCCATCTTTGTCATTCAATTTAGTTTTATTTATATAGCTTTCATTACAATACTCGTTGTCTGTAGGTGCTTTCCAGAGACCCAGAGCATGAACTAATTAGAACTTAACTCAAAACACTCCTAAGCATTGATCTGCCAGTCTATGAAATCTATGAAATGGGTTGGATTAGTTGGTAATGGATGCCAAAATCCAAAACTAATTGGCAGTGGTCAGTGCCTACTTCCTGTGTTGAGGTGTCTGTTTTTTTTAACTGTCACATTTGACCACGGCAGACTATCAGCTTTTGATATATTTGTGACAAATCTGGGTGGTTCACTGCATGGTTTGTATTAAATCTATAAGCAAGGCATTTGCTTTATTTATCTCCCCCCCCCCCCCCCCACACACACTCCAGTTTCATGTGAAGGAGCCTGTGCATTTTGGTGCTGTTGAGAACTGACATCTTTGGGATTTCTGAGTACCTTGATACAGTTACAGTTAGCTCTGTATTAAAGCATAACATTTCATTTAGGGGTGGACTAATTTAACTGTTAAACTTCTCAATTTTTAGCAGTTGCAGCAGTCATCCAGTGAGAGTGACACTACCATCATCCTTGGTCCAATG